GCACATTTTTAGGGGCGGCATTCTGGCGCCGGTCATGCCGCCCCTAAAAATGTGCCGTCCCAAGCACCAGCTTGTTTTGCAAAATCCTAGAGCCGGCCCTGCCCAGAACCCACTTCTCATGCAGTTGGGACTCCCATCCCATTTAATAAAATGAGATCAGGGCAGTCGTGTCTCCTCTCTTTCTCCCCCCACCTGTTTACAACACCCCGGGGGCCACGATGACCCTCAGTTAAGAAGCTCTGGTCTAAATGATGATATCAAGTTAAATCTGACTGCTCACAAATACGTCCCACGATTTTGTTGCAAATCAAAGAGCATCCATAGCTGTCTTATTTGTAAAAAAAACAAAAAACAAAAAAACACTTTCATTCAAACAGTGCAGAATCTAAAGACTGGTTTTAAAACTTTACACATTTTAAACACATGCAGGAAGAGAGAAACTACTCTGCCTATTCAAAACAAACAAGTTGAGTCCTTCTAAGATCAGGTTTGGAGGGCTAGCTCAAACAGTCTCAAATTAAAAATAAATCCCCCAAGATAACCTAAATGAAAATTAAGTCATCACATCTGTCATCTGTTATGCTCTTAAATAGGTTAGAAAATCAATTTTATTTCATTCCATCTCACATTTAACCTGAATAATAACTCTTCCTTAATGTTACTTTACATATGCTCAGCAGCTACAAACCAGTTTTGTTTTGTTTGATCAGACTACCGTAAGCATTACTCAGGGAACTGACATGACCTTATCAAAAGGATTTCCATACTGTTAACTTATTCAGGCTTTGTAGAGTCAAAGATACAGGCATAGAATTTGACGGGGAAGAAAGAGTGTCAATATATTTCAATACCTAAAGTGATTTGAGATTAATTTCTAATCCCATGTTGAACTGGTATGTAGTACAGATGATTTCTCAAGCTTTTATCTCCTAACCCTCCAGCAAAGATCCAGTTATGGATGAATATTTGACCTTGGCTAGCCCCATGCGAAGAAATAATTATCTGAATCACTAGTAACATTCAGACCTGCTTTCTTGACTCCCCTGCTATAGTCTGTGTTTGTTGCTTCTAGTTGCTGGCCCACAGAAAGAATAAGGGAGATACCTCTCTGTCAGCTAAGGGAACTCTCCTGCAGCCTCAGTGGCAGAGGCAGCTTTTAAAACTGAAAAGCCAGAGTTTGGGTCCCTGCTAACCAAGTCTGTGCATGTGATTTGCTTAACTTGTGCCTTTTGTCTGCAGTATTGCTAATCCTCAGCATTCAAAAATCACGAATCCCCCTCGTCCCCCCAAAATCATAAAACTGGCTTAAAAATCATGAGATTTTTAAAAAGTAATACATTTTGGGTTCTTTTTATTTGCCTCTGGCTTCTAAGCCTTTACGATGCGACTGATTCACTCTTCCAGGCATTTCTCCACAACTGTGAGGGCTAGAAAAGGGAACTAATTTAGCTTTTTAAACTAGAGTTCTTTGAGATGTGTGATCCCTATCTGTATTCCACAGTGGGTACACATGTGCTCCATGTGCCTGTGACTGGAGAATTCTTGAAAGAAGGGTCAATTAGTTACAAAGGGTAAGTAACTTCCCTTTCTTCTTTGAGTGCTGGTCCCTATGCGTATTCCACTGTGTGTGACTGACAAGCAGTGCTCTAAGAGGAGGAGAGTTTGAGGATGCAAATGATATGACTGTTTGGAGAACCTGTATCCCAAAGCATGAGTCAAAGGCGGAGGTTTAGACAAAGGTATAATGTCTCGTGAACGCATGGATGTAACTCCATGTTACTGCCTTGGAAATATCAAGCAGGGGTACCTTGTGAAGTGATGCTACGAAGTTTGCCTGTGCTCTTGTAGAGTGAGCCCTTATTCCATTTTGGGGAGGCGGATGTGCCAACTGATAAAGTAGGATACAAACAGAAATCCACTTAAGAGATTCTCTGAGAGGAAACAGTGCATCCTCAGACTCATTCCACTACAGCAACAATCTAGGTGACTTTCTGATCTGTTTCATTCTCTGTGGGCAAAATGCCAAAGCTCTTCTCATCTCAAGAGAATGAAGACTTTTCTTTCGGTTCGTAGCATGGATCTCATCTTGAGAATGGTCCTAAAGAAAGAATGGTCCTAAAGGGCTTTGAAGGAAATGGGGACAGAAACTTGATGGTATAGCTGGAATGGATGATATCCAGCACCCACTTCTCTATTGTTATTGTCCTCCAGATGGGGAGAAAAAAAAATCCCAGGTGGCCACCAAAGCGGACTTAGGGATCAGGTGGGGATGGCATGAAAATTGGTTTGCAACTCCCGAACATCTTGTCAAAAGTACCTCTTGGCCAGGGGAGCATGGGTTGATATGGGAGATGGGTGGTTCATAAGAGCATTGGTGGTAAAATGCTTATGGACAATGTACAGGGAGAGCTCCCCAGTCTGAGTCCAACTGAGGCCTCATTGCTTTCTCCATGCAACGTTTCTTAAGCCAGAGTTCTTGTGCCTACAAGTCCACATGGGAAAGAGTGACAGATATTGCACTTAGCACAGATAGGAGCTTTCTCAGAGACAGTAAAGGCAGTACTGGTGGTCGTCACTAAATGAGAAAGAGTAGGGACAAGAGACAGTTTTTAAAGCCTGGTGTCCCTGGCATAATCTAAGTCCCATACCGGGGAGGTTAGGGAGTTCCATCTATTACTAAATATAGTATAAAAAGGACTAACATTAACTATACTGAGGTAAAATAACCATTTAAAACTTTGCATGCAGTGTTGTAGCCATGTTGTTTCCAGGATATTAGCGAGACAAGATAGGTAAGGTAATATCTTTTATTAGACCAATTTCTGTTGATAAGGGAGACAAGCTTTTGAGCTTACATAGACCTCTTCTTCAGTTTGTTTAAAACAGCTTGTTTAAAACTCTGAAATATTTACAGACTTGAAGATAAAAAGGAGAAGCTCTGGACATTGGGAGGATGC